AAAAAAAAAGAAAAAATAGCAACATTATAAATTATATTTTTAAAAGGTGAAAATTTATAAAATCAGGATTCCGTTAGGCTACCTAATGATAAAACAATCATAATTTTTCAACAAATTTACCCATTTTTATATCCAAATGACATACTTTTGATTTAAATTTCAAATGATTACGTTTTAATATAACTATATAGTTTTTTTTTTTTGTGAGAAATATAATTTTTTAACGGTTAGATATCCTAACAGCAGCATTTGTCCTAAACGGACAACTTAATTATGTAATTAAGTCGTGCTTAATAATTAGAGAAAAATATAAAAATTGCAGGGAGAGATTCTACGTTCTCGTTACAGAACAATTTCGTCGGGGTTTGCAACCGTTAGATCAACTATCCACGACGATTACAAATCCCGACGAAATGGTTTCGTAATGAAACTATAACATTTTTCAAAATTGCATTTAAATTAATCTTACATAATCTCTTTGGGGCTCCACAAAATTGCATAGTGATGAAAATTCTGAGTTGGATCGAACCATAGGTGAAATTTCATCTCTCTCCCAATAATCCTACCGTCCCCACTTCCTCGGACATAAACATTTGTTTGAAGTGTGTATGGCTTTCCAAATGTTGTCCCAAGAAATTCGATGTCCACCTCATCGTGGTACCCTGGATGAGCCTCGTTGTTTGATAGCTGACCCCAAAAAAAATAAAATAAATAAATAAAATAAGTTATTTTTAATACAAAATCATACCAAAATCAATTTATTATGGTGAAAAAAAAAATACAAAATAAATAAATAAACAAATCTAGTTCTAATTAGCTTAATAATTACACTAAATTGCTCTTGTTTTGGTTTCTTATGAGCAATTGTAATTTTAAAAGATATATAATTGGGGGATATGCTACGGTACCGTTACTGAACTATTCTGTCGGGATCTGTAACCGTTGGGAATAATTGATCTAACAGTTACAAACTTAGACGGAATGGTTCTGTAATGAGACGGTAGCATTTCCCTATAATTGGACCTTGAAAGTTGTGACCCTACGTGGATGTGGACTTCATTTGCATGGAATTTTCGTTATGTACAAAAAATTAGTGCATAATAAAGCAAAATAAAATGTCCAATATTGTTATTATTATTCAAGAAAATTATTCGTACATAAAAGGCTGTAATAACTCCAGCAGTGTAACCGGGTTGAAGCTTAATGGATGCACCGAAATACCCGGACCGGAACGGCTTCACCGACTTGAACCCGCTTCCTGTAAATCCGATCCGAAACAAATAAATAACCACAACAATTCAAACAAGAAAAAAAAAATAATAATAATAATATTTCAAGAAATTGAAATTAAATGAGTGCCAAACAAACCTGAGTTTTGATCAAGCCAAATATTGATACCATTGTTATCCACACTTTGATGATTGGCACCCCATAAACTCCTATAGCCTTGATAGAAGCTCATGGACCTAAACCGGGAACTCGGGTAGTAACCCGGGCCGGGTGGCCACTGATCCGCATTGGATAACCGGGCCGCCGTGATGAGGACAACAATAGCAAGTAGTAGTGTAAGAAAGTATTGGTGATCAAAAGCCATCAAAAATTATAAGTTTTAGTGTAGAAATCAATTAGTAATTATAAGAGATATGAGTGATCTATAATTTGGCATATAAGCTATTATAAGCTATGGGCACATAAATGCAGGTTTGAGACAAGAGATTGTTGGATATGTAAATGTGTTTCATGGAGAGGAAGTATGGAATGGCAGTACACTTTGGCTATAAATAATGGGGATTGGTTTGGTGGGTCCAAAAACTATGGCTAGATTTTGAGGTGCATCTCTATTTCCCCATTTGGGTAATTAATTAATTAATTTTCTAGTGCAATTATCAAAGGGATTATGTTGTTGTTTTTTTTTTTAATATTTACATGCATGGTTTAATTTTTCACTATGTAGATGTAAACTCCTAAATTAATAGAATACAAATTTTGCTATTAGATAGCACAAATGAGTAGACATTCATATTTTTTTAATAAAAATGAATACAATATTATAATTAAAATGCTATATTATTTATTTATTTTTTTATTTTTCAAAATAGAATAATTGAGTATAATATATATATATATATTATAAAATATGTATTGAAATGCAAAAAGTATTTACAATATATTAATTATTAAAACTTAATTTTTATGCTAGTTTAGTTTAAATAAATAATCTTACAGTCCGTGTATTTTACATTTATAGTTTTCGAAATTATTTATAATGATGTATTATTTTCGTCTCTTAATTGTAAACCGATTTAATGATTTATAAAATCGAGTATTTAGTTTGATTGTTACATTTTTTAATTTTGATTTTTTTTTTTTTTTT